CGAAAGAAGCTCCGTGGGCAGTGTCATGCGATCCTCCAGCAGGATCAGAGGTTCGGTCTTGCATTCAAGCTCTGAAGCGAGGAAAGGCAGCAGGACAGAATGAGCTCCCTCCCACTCTTTTCAAGATGGGGGTGACAACCTCGTAAGCTGTTTTACTACCCTACTGTGCAACATTTGGACGCAACAACACATTCCTTCATCTTGGGGCGAGTCATTGATCGCTCCCATTTTCAAGAATGGATCTCGCAACGATTGGGAAAACCACCGCGGAATAACTTTGATCCCGATCGGCACCAAAGTGCTAGCTTCGGGTATACTTCGACGTCTGACTCCTTTGACATAGATTAACATCCGTGAACAGTAAGCCGGATTCCGTCCTGGCCGTGGATGTATTGATCACATTTTTACTTTGCGTCAGGTCATTGAGCTGCATCACACCCACCATCGACCAGCGATCGCAGTGTTCCTTGACCTGAAAGGAGCCTTCGACTCAGTTGACCGCGAAGCTCTGATGGGCTCCCTTCTTCGAATAGGAATGCCCCAGAAGTACGTCAACCTACTGAGGTCACTGTACTCACATACGTCCGGTCGTGTAAGGGTTTACAACAATCCAAGTAGGCCGTTCGTCACCAGCAGCGGCGTTCGTCAAGGATGCCCTATTCCGCCGTTCCTGATTAATTTCGTCGTAGACGAAATATTGGAGAACGCATTAAGTGGACTCCAAAACGTAGGTATTAAATGGGCAGGTGGAGAAAAGCTGTGCAATTTCGAATATGCCGATGACATCTTCTGTCTGTTCGAATGTATGGAAGACGAGCGAAGTGCACTTGATAGATTAATAAATGCAGAAGCCACATTCGGTATGTGCTTTGCACCTTCAAAGTGCAAAGTGAGGCCGCAGGAATGGGTTTCGTCTACTCCCGCTCTGAAACCTAATGGCCGGGAATTATTTGTGGTGGATTACTTTTCCTATTTAGATAGTTGCGTGACCAGCAACGGTAGTGCAGCAAAGGAGATAACCGCCCACATTTCCAAGGCTCGAGCAGCATACGCAGGACTGAAACACCTTTGGCGTAGACGCGACGTTTCATTGAGGTTGAAAGGTCGTGTATATTGCGCTAGCGTTCGTTTAGTCCTCCTTTATAGTTGTGAGACCCTGAATTTGCGAGTAGAAGATATCCGTAGACTGGAAGTTTTCGGTTATCGGTGTTTACGTAGTTTAGCCAACATTGGGTGGAGCGAACGGGTTAGTGAGGTGGTGTGTTCGGGAGTCTATCAGGTATAAACCTGCTGGCACACCGAATTCAGATTAATAGACTTCGCTGGATAGGGCACGTATTCCGTATGCCCAACTGTCGTCTGCCATACCGTGCTGCGTTCGCAGTAGCTAATCCGAGCCGGAGGAAACCACGTGGAGGTCAGCAGATGACTTGGTAACCAAGCATGAATAAATGCACAGAGCCATTAGGTAGAGTAGGTGTCTCTTGCCTCCCAGGTTGGGGTCCGAAAGACTCCACAACTGGTTGGTTGGAGACACTGAAGGATATGGCAGCGAACCGACAGCAGTGGCGTTCTTATTGTCGTTTCTTATCAGGTCGGAATGCTTGAAGTGGTATGTATTCAGAGTTCGGTTGCGTACTCTGTGTGTCGACCATAGAGGTTCACCTTCTTCTCCCTCCCTTAAAATATGTCCAAGCCCTGTCCACCTTAAATTTTACCACTCACCTTGTGTGCATTGCGAGTTTGGCAGCGATCAGTGAAGTTCGCCTGACTGTATTTCGCTGTACGATAGTGATGATGATGATGATGTCTGGTACATGAGGGAATGCATCAGACAATAAACGTCATCGCCTGATGCGAGACATCGTAAATAAATTTCGTCGTGAACGTTTTTTCGTGTACTTAGGTATAACTTACCCATCTTCATTAAAACTAATCATTCAGTACTTCGCAGTTATCCAAATAATTGAAAGGATAGTTATTGGAAAATTTGTATATACAATACCACTGCAAGCTAAACTAAGGAAATGTGATAACCGAAAAGAAAAATCAATATGTTGTGTGCCGGCAAAAAAGGCAACATACCACGGCTGATTCCTGATTGGAACGCGGAGCCCTCTTGGAGGTTGAAATGTTGTTTGTAGATTCGCTTTTGGATAAGTGTTCCTGCCGAGAACGCTTTGGTCTACTCCGACGCGTGGATCCCCAATTCCACCAACCGGTACGCCTTGCGGACCGCTTAGAACGTCGACGGCACGACAGGTCATTTACAAAAGTAGACGAAGTACCCGTTGGTGGAGGAGGCGGTAGATGACCATTATCCGGTCGATCATCGTCTTCGGAATGTGACACTGAACCAAAGAAGTATCCTAATGTGGAGCAGGAAGAAGCTGACGATGGAGTGTGGGGGGATGTGGATCGAGAAGAAACTGGTATGGAACCAGGCACATCATTACCCATTACAGGGGGGACCTTGAGCGAAGCTAGACGTAATCGATCACTCGTTGCCGGGGAAGAAACTAGAGAAGTTGGTTGTGTATTTGATTCGTCTAATGGATTTTTCTCGTCCTGAAGTGCATGATTCATATCACCCAATAGGCTGTCCGGTCCATCGCTCACAGTGGGTGACAAACCTGGAAATAAGGTACATCCATTCGCTGACTGAAAACCGTTTTCCAATCGAGCACCCCAAGTATGTTCTACAACCTGACGATGGAGGGAACGATTCGAGTCTTTGGATCTCTTGGTTTTCACACGAGGTGAGGAATGGACAACTCTGACCTGAGCGGAATCACCAGGAACATGGTGTGTTTCAACAATTCCCGTGGCCCCGTAATTCTCACAATTATCGGAGTCCGTGTGATCATGACCTTTGAGTTCGTCTTTTGCGAAGTACTGGAGAGCAACCTGAGGCGGGGTCGAAGAAATGGGAATTATAACATGAATCATACGAGTATCAACTAAGTTGTGATCACTGAGAACTCAACGCGAAAAATGATGAAAAAGTACAGGAATAAGAAAGACTATCAAACAAACCTACAATTAGAAAATCACCTTGGTAAAAAGATTATTTGCGTTTATGAATCCTTAGCACAGTTTGATGATATGTTTGAGTAAACGGTGAGAAAACATGGTTGGAAGATGCCCGAAATGGATACGTCATCCATCAGTTTCACTGACAGCCTGAAGTCTGGCGAGGCATAAGGTCCTTACGTTAACGATGATGCCGTTGTTCACTGGTTCAATTAACAACGGAAACGCCGTTTGCCCAACTAGTATGGCAATGGTCTGTTCGGCGTTACACTCAGCGTGGTGTGATGGACGACGCAGGGAATGAACACAATCGTCAAGTGTTTTTGACTGAAATGTAGGCAAGTCAGAAATACAATACAGTACAACATAATATAAGAGGATTGATTGATCATTTAAGGGAGCCAGCAACCTAATACCGAGGACGTCATGTGCTTACCCTTATAAAGTACATGTTATCCTAACAGACAAAATAGGAAACAGGAATATGGGTAAGCGCCTATAAGGGATGGCAATGGTCGGAATTTCGTGCAGAGAGGGATGGAAATGACAACGAGTTAGTTCAGGATGCAATGCGCGGTTAGGATCTGTGAGAATTCGTTCCCAGGAAGTTGTACGATATTCTGAAAGTTTTACAACTAACTCGCATATAGAAATTCAAAAAAAACGGATAATAATCGTGAGCATTCGGCGTAGGACTTTGAAATCTTGTTTAAGAAGGACAGACAAAATAAACAAACAATAAAGATGAGGAAGACATCTGGATATACCAAAGCAGAAATAGCTGATTGGGAAGGGCAAACTATTCAGGGCTTCCAATTCGAAACGATAGACACTGCAGTTTTCCGGTGCAGCTGTGGATTTTGGTTGACCAACGAAGATGTTTATCTGTAGTAATCCCAGGATATGACAGAGTAAATTTGAGGTAAAAGATTGATATTTATCACTACGACGGTTAGTCTTGAAGGAAACGCTCAGAAAACTATATCAACATTCAACACATTTCTTCGGACTTAAAATTGGGAGAAATGGGCTTGAGAAGGGTTATCGGTGAAGGAAATTCGGTCAGAGGAAGAATATGTGAGTTGGCACAACATAACATCATCTGCATATTTAAAAGCACACAATATCGAAAACAATGAGTGTTTCAGTTTTCGGTTTAAACAATCATACACTTTAGATAGACGGCATTCTTTGCTGACTTTTAGTTAGCTGTTTGGATAAAGCGGTAGAAAGATGAGAATGTTGAAAGAGGATTGAGTGAAAATACAAAATCCATATAGACTAAGGTTACAAGGACTATGATTGGATGCAAGAGTGCCATTGTTTACGATACTCAGCTATATCACTCAGTGCCTCTAATCACTGATTACAGTTATCCCGAGGTCTCCATCCAGGAAGCATAACGCTACTTACGTGAGTAAGTCTCCCGGTCAGGGCTTTCATCACATTACGCCAGGTCGTACCTTGACCAAATTTTACAAGCACTGAAACAAGAGTGTTTGGTGATGGGAAAAACTTTAGTTTTGATGGCTCATACTGTTATTCTTATAATTTTAAGTGTTTCAGAAAGAACCAAAATACCTCGATCCTAGGTAATTAGGCGATGTAGTGTGAGCTACGTTCTCAATGTAAGGGAAGGACACAGCTGGTTATCTTGAACAGCGGCCAAGACTTCCAGATTATAGATAGACACCCGAAATTTTCTCACAGTCCTCTATTTCAGAAAGTTATACGGAAATTAATGTGTTTCAACAAGATAACTTTTCTGAACACGTCATACTTTACGAGGTCAGGGTTTTGATACAGAAACACAGATAAAGTATCAGCTCGCATACAGAAGACTCCATTGGCATTTGCCAACGTAAGACATGTGGCGCCGTTACGACATTCGACTGGCTGTGAAGAGTCGAGTGAATGCTGTAGCCACCTCTGCTATACCGCGCAGAAATTTGGCCGTTAAGAAAACAAGGTAAAGAGACTGTCGGTGTTCGAACACCGCTGTCTAAGCAGCAGTGCACGAATATGGTGAGGAAACTGGACAAGTTAGGCATGNATGGCGTTTTAGTTAATCGCGGTCTCCAACTGGAGCAAGTGGTCGACCTCCATAGATTACGTTCTTTGGGATGTGTTACGCATGCCACCAAATAGGTTTTCACGCCGCACGATTTTTGCCGCGGCAGATAGTGGATGGAAAAAGATCAACGCTGGTCTTAATACCCGGCATGAGGGTAAAAAAAACCATAACCAGAAGACTCGGTCACATAGGTCCCGTTAGGTTCCTTGGATGGGGATCTTGGGATGATCGTAACCAGCGGTTAGAGACACTGAGTGATATGGATGAATGTCGTTAACCGTGGCGTTCGTGCATCATCCCAATTTCTGTGCAATTTTAGTTTACTGAGATTCTCCATTTTCTCTTCGACTCTATTTTCAACTTTCCTGTCTTTCTCCTACTGTTCACCAAAATGGGTAGCCAAAGGATAGCAACCAAAACCATGTTTAATCGTTGTACAAACGGAAACTGGATAAACTTTGTTCAAATTTCTTGTAAATAGAAAGCATCGATGAAGTGGACTTGTTTGAACAGAGAAATCAGAAACATGGGTTTGCACAATGTATCCATGGTCATTTCGCTGCATCTGTACACGTGCGTACTGCAGTCCAAATGATTTTTATAGTCAGTGCGATAACAGATTTGAGAGAAAAAAGAAAAAGATCGCTAATCACAACGGACAACGTAACGCAAAAACAAAAAAAACACAAAAAGGGGGAATGAGATAGGGCAGCGGGTCAATCACCAAGGCAAAGCTAATGTGACTAACCATTCGCGTTGTTTGCATAGATCAGGTTTGAAAGTGTGAATGGCTAGGACCTCGGCAGGTTTTAGTAATTTTGCGTTTGCTGTGTTGGAGATGACATGGAATACGTGGGGTGGGGTGACACAGTGTTTTTGTTCGAGTAAATGTTGCGTCATCGAAGATCTAAGCTTTCTCCGATCAATCGATGACGTAAAAAGAAGTGGACTTGTGTTGAACTAGAATGAATACTTTATACTTTATCGGAGAAGGTGCAGCAGAAAGCTCCTGTAAGCGGCCATTCACCGTGGTTTGGGTTTGTGAGTCGCACTCCGTTTTCATTGGGTTGAAAGAACAAATAAGACCTTAATCACGATCTATCATTGTTTTATTCATGAATCTATCAAAAGAGAGAGACACTGAAAAGAGGACAGACTAATGGTCATTTTATTGTTGCTTGGACTGTAGCAGTCAAAATGAAGCGAGCTGTGAGGGTGCTACCTAACAGGCGTCAATCAGCAACCACATTCTGACGCACCGAAGACAGCACCATTGTATTAGTTGTACTCGATTACCGTTGCTTCATTTACTGCCAAATTCAGGGTGCATCGCTTCATATAAGTCGATCACGGGTAGAGCAGTGACTGAAAAGCTTCGGGGGAAAACCTGCGGATTTCCAATAGCGTCCCACTGTCACATTATGGCTAGCCAAGAGATCTGATTGGGAATCCTCGAGAAAAACACGTGCTTTGACATCGGCAACCTAGCAAAAACACCCACAAATATATTATGCAATGATTTATTTGCCACAAAGAAACGTGTATGTTGATTTGTGTGCCACAGTAGACAAATGTGAGACCATTACGCTGTAGTCCAGGAGATTACTGCTGCAGTTTACAATTCACACCGGGTCAGAAGTTATTGTAACTTAGTATTAAAATGATGGCATGAAGAGTGTCTACCTCAGACACCTTAATCGGGAATGTTTGGAACACTCGGAATAAGAGAGTACACCGCAATGCATGAACATATGAATTGGAGATTGAAATAGATACTTTCCTGGAACAGGAAGAGCAATGAGGTGACCCCTAAAAGAATGAGCCGTGGGCTCGAACGTGGCTTCAGTTATGAGTATAAAGGCATTGTGAAATAAGAGTGAACTTTTCTGACCCATTGCTCAAGGACAACACAGTCCGTTGAATCGAAGGCCGCTGTTGGATCAACTAGAATAGAAATTCAA